AATTTGCAGAACCGATTAAAAACCGTTGAGATTTAATTTTATTAATTAAAGCCATATTTACAATATGTTATAATCTTAATTCTAATATTTATACATTATTTATATATATATATATATATACAGGTGATTGATTTATCATAAAACACTCATTATTTCAAAAAGTATTGACCTTTTTTCAAAATATTTTTACATGGTTTCAAGTTGTTAAAAAACAACATTTTTATCAAAAAATTATATTTTTAAATATTTTTTATCCTTATCATTTTTTAAGTTTTTTACTTTTTTGAATAACAACATAGAGTTTTAATTTCATATTCCAAAGCAGAATATTTTTCCAAGTGTTTTGAYACATAGAAATCGAATTTGGGGCTAGTAGTTTCTGAGGTATAACTTATAAGTATTTAAAGTTTAGACAAGCGGAGTAGTGGACAAACATTTTACGGGGTAACCCCGTACCACTCCACTCTGCCGATCAAAACTTTAAATACTTATAAATAACGTGACCATAACTTTTTTCCTTCAAAGCGGGACACCTGTACATTTTAATAAGAAAACCATATAATTTTGCGTAAAATAACTTTTTTTTTATTGAATAAAAAACGTTAATTGTTTATATGAAAAATGCGAATATTATATTAATCATAATAGTCTCCCAACAATTATGGATTTTAGTGTTTCAAAGTTTATATAAAATATGTAGGGTATACGTCATATACTGTTAACTGTATAGATACAGTCAGGGGCGTAATTTGGGGGGGAGTGGTGGCAGGGTGTGCGGTTGCACCCCTTACTTTTAAAATGTTACAATTGGCCTGCGCCTTGCTGAAGCCTAAAATAATGCACGAGCCACGAATGCAGAATTATTTATATGATTAAAATCAAATTGTAATAACCGGTCTATAATGTATGGACATAATTGAATGCAGGATAATATACATATTCTTATGTATATCTATTTTTATATGGCCTGTTGAAATTTCAAAATGGCCTGCTTGAAACTTTGCACACCTGAAAAAAAATCTGAAATGACGCCCCTAGATACAGTATAAATGTATGATTGTGATATGTGATCAATAATTAATACCTGCCACGTCATGTCGACTTTTCTTAAAACGGGACATTTTTAGGTTCTTTGGGGACGGCGGGACACTTATCTCGAAAGCGGGACTGTCCCGCCCAAAGCGGGACGTATGGTCACGTTACTTATGTTAACAACTAACAATAAATAACACAACTTAATTCACATAATCAACTTAAATCTTTATTTCAACAACGACAACACGAGCGTCCGGTAGAACACTCGGAGCGTAACTAACTTAATTACAAAAAAAAAAGATGGAACCCACTAACGGGTCTCCAGTCAGACAACAGTTTTGCCAACATTATAGTTATCACTTATAAGTTATAACTCATAAACTACTAGCCCCAAATTCGATTTCTATGTACCAAAATACTTAGAAAAATATTCTGCTTTGGAATATGAAATTAAAACTCGATGTTGTCATTTAAAAAAGTAAAAAACTTAAAAAATGATAAGGATAAAAAATATTTTTTTTTAAATAAAAACGTTGGTTTTTTAACAACTTGAAATCATGTAAAAATATTTTGAAAAAGTCAATACTTTTTGAAATAATGAGTGTTTTATGATGAATCAATCACCCTGTATATTAAAATCATATAAGCTACACGTCATTCAATATGATAAAAAATATACTTATTTTTTTGAAAATGGGTATGCCCAGGCGTACCATCCTACGCGCCGACGACCGACTACTTCTTTCAGTGGCGTGCCCAGGAAATTTCAATGGGGAGGGATATATGTTATACATTTTTTAGTAAAAGTAGATACATTTAAATTAAATCCAAACACAAAAATTGCTAAACATATGTACATTCATGCATATTGAGTATCATTCTACAATTAGAATTAATTTAAATAGCCACACAYTATWCACTATTGTTTAAATAAAATGACAACATTAAACTAAAAACATTTATAACCTTTATTAAAATAATTAATATACAAAGAAAAATAATTCTTAAAAACAACTTAGTTAATCGTTATTCCAAACGAAAATTTATATTTATTTTATACTTTTAGTCTACGTGATAAGCATGATCCATCATTCTATCTTATATCTTACCATAAACATAATTAATTATTAATTATTACTTAGAGGATTTATTGCTCATGAACATGAATACAATATAATCACTGATCTATAATCATTATAATCCGTATAGTGAATGTTTATAATAGCCAATGGGAAATAATTTATAAGCAATAACTTATTACTGATAATTTTAAAAGTAATATCCATATCCAAATATAAATGTTTATATATGTCTATGCCTCTATGGTAATATCTAATAAGTTGAAGTTAACAAAAAAAAGCCAATGGGGGGATATAACCCCTAACCTCCCCCCCCCTTGGGCACGCCACTGACTTCTATATTTGTCAGTTGATTAACAATTCTCACATTCTCAACTATGCTCAATATTATTTATAACGATATATTGACATTTGACATTTGACAAGTAATCAAATACGATACTATAATACATGACAAAATAGATTTTGTCATGCTGTAATATTAAACAATTAGCTTAAATATGTAATTTAGAAGGAGAAGGCAAAGATGAAAGAAGAAGAAGAAGAAGCTTATAATGTTTAATTATATAATTTGACTCGTGTGATGTGTATTAAGTTGTTAACACTGGTCTGGTCGCGTGTACGTCATTACTGTATAGTGTATAGTACAACTTTAGAACTTTACTGTATTATACAATGATAGTCGGACCTCGGACGTACCTTATGTTACCGACCATGGTCAGGCGTTCTGTCCACAACGATGATGCGCTAGTAACGACGTCATATTGTCTAGTAACAATAAGTTGTTGACTGTTGTAACTTGTAGTTGTGGACAGAATCGAGTACAACTATCATTGATGTATATATTGTATATATATACTTTCTTAAACTGATAAAGTGATAAATAATCATAACAATAAAGTAGATTGTACTGATAGTAATTAAGTATTCATTATCGGTCTATCGGATTACCCATTATAAAATATAAGTTATTAATTTATTATTAAATTATATTTTATCATACCTATATGAAGTAAGATTTTACGTTTGGACGTTTTGGTAGTTATTCATAAGCTACGAAGTGTTGGATCATTATTGTAATATTAAATATTGTGCGGTCGTGCTGTTAAATCAACAAAGTAGTGTACAGCGTTGGAGCTGTTTGTTACCGACAAATAATGTCTTTCCACGATAGTAATAATATGTCGCCATCCTCGACGTTCTCAATGGACGACGACGACGACAACAGTGTAAAAATCGAAAACAAAGATTTGACTGATTCTGATGGTACGCAACGTAGTTATAGTTAATGAAATTTCGTATTAATGACATTAATTTTTTTCCAGAAGAAGGCAAAGAAAACCGCGAGAAACACACCGAAATACAGGAGCAGTTAGTTACTAATTTTTCAGCGATTTACAATTTTAACTGTGTTAACTGTTAGTAAGTAATTTGCTTTTGAATTTTTTTCTTATAATTTTAGGGTCTACCAGGATAAATTGGCTGGCATCCAAAGGCAACTACAGCAGTTGCGTGATGGAACTCACGCAGAATACGTGAAGCAATTGAAAAAATTGGATGCACAGCATAAAAATGAGTGGGTTTATATATTTTTTTCTACCTATTATAATTTCAGTGAAATAAATCATGATTAAAATGTTTTTTTTCTATTAATGTACCAATAGACTAAGGATGAATAATTTGTGGAGAGACTGTTTGCTTGATGCTATTGAAAGAGAATTTAATAGAGAAAGACGTCTAGCTCACAAAGAATTTGAAGATCGTAATGCTGAACTTACTGAGACTTTGATATCAGAATTAAATGAAAGGAAAAAAGCTATAGAACATGACAATTTAAACATGGAACTTTGTATGTATTATAAATATATATATTATATACAGTATATTTTATCTTTTTATTATATTTGTGTGGTTTCAGCTCCAGACTCATCAGATCAAAAACCTGCTATGACAAGAAAACTGAGAAGAAGACCAAACGACCCAGTGGTGCCAGCACCCCAAGAGAAACGTCGCAAACCCCCACCTGTTTCAAATATCTATTATTTGTTACAGGAACATGAAATTGAGCATGATGTTAAACTTATTCAAGAGTCATTGGCTTCATTAGCATCTACTTCTATCACGACAACCCCTACAATCAAAACACGTGATACAGTAAATTCTTCATCTATTAGAAAACCAGGTTGGTCATATTTACAATTACAATTGCATTTGGATAATATATGTATAATATATACAACTATTTTTTAGGGTGTCTTCCAAGTACTAGTTCATCAACTGCAGGTAATATGAGTCCTAAAAAAAGCCAGAATTCAGACACTGAAGGATCATCAGCTATTCCAGATACGCGAATCGAAGATGGAAAACTGCTATTTGAAAAGAGATGGTATGAAAACTTAAAGTAACAATAATTTCTTAAAATAAAAATTATTTCAATTTTAGGTATCATCGAGGACAACCTGTTTTTGTCGAAGGAAGACAAATGGCAAAATTCCCAGCTGTTATATCTGCTATTGGCAACGAAACTGTAAGTCATTAAATGAATAAAGAAAATTTTGTTTTTATAAGAATTAATGGTACCTATAATAATAAAAATCTGTAAATCATTTCTGTATTACAGATTTGGGTAAAGAAAACGTCAGACAACAGTAAATTTCGTATCAACTTGTCTTACCTATCCAAGGGTAAAATGTCTATCAAACGCCGAGCTGCTGTTTAAACAACTATTTATATTCAAATGTTATATATTTATGCTTATAAGTGGTCACTCATTTTATTTATTCGTTTTTTTTTTTCTATTATTATTATTATTACAGTTTATACAAATAATAGTTTGAATCCTATCATAATGTTACATTTCCTATTGTGAACCTATTCAAAAAGTAATGATTGGAGGTTATTATCAATTATCGTGTGTATAGTATAATTAAATAATATAATACATTTTTTTTCTGTAAGGAATTAATAGAGTAACAATTTTTATTATTTCATTTTAGTTTACAAGTTCTATTCTTAAAAGCAACACTTCAAATTTTAATTTTTGGAATATACTCTTCAGCCAGTATATCAGTCATCTTACGTTTGATGTGCGACAAATTTTGTTCAATATACTTCCAGTTAGTCACAGTGTCTTGAAGTAACACTTGAGATTTGACCAACTGTTGGTCCGTTTCATTCATTTGATTCATTGCATTTATATACATTTGCTTGCTGAATGTTGAGAGGTTTGAATAAAACTGCATATTTTTCTCTTCTAAAACAAATTAAATTAAAATATTGAACAGTTACTCATTAATTATAATGAAAATTTATCAGTAATAAATAATAATATTATATTAAAGCAACTTACTTAATTTTCTATGCAGTAAAGTGTCTTCAGACATTTTGAAATTGTCAGAACGCCCAGCAAAACTTTCTCTTCCCACTCGAGTTTTCCTATTTTCTACAATAATATTAATTTATTAAATACAATTTAAGTATAAACACAATTGAAGTACAATCAAAATAGCTAACTAAACAATTTGTAATCATTCAAAAGTGAATGGTCGACTAAATAACTACTTCGACATACTTAAATTGCTTGCCCGGTATTTGGAATCAGTGTCAAATTCTGTGTGGTCGCTCTCAACCATTCCATTCCTTGAATTCTGAAATAAACCATTATCCTTTTATAGCAATGTGTGTATGGAACATAATGACAATGTTCCGCTGATCTTACCTCAACTTGTTGAAGGTCTTCATCATCAGATTCAGAAGCTTCGCCCAGAACGAGCATAGCTTTATCTGACATATTGATGGAAGTATTTTATATGAACTATACCAAATAGTTTCTGCACTATAAGAATTAGGAAGTAAATAGTAACTAGTAGTAGTACTGTAGACTATATTTTACAACATGAAAAGAACACTTATTTTCAATTATTATTTTTTACCACTTGTTAGGTTTAAACAACAAAAATACTGATAACAATATCATTGTTTTATTTATTTATCATACTATCACACCTTACAATCATTGACATTATCATTTATTATATAATTATTGTACTATGACCATATTATGCATGACAAAATAGATCTATTTTGTCATGATATTATGTTTATGACTATGACTATGACAATGTAGTATTACTATTGTAGACTGTAGTATTATTATACTACAGAACAATTTATACTGAATACTACTTAAAAAAATAAAATAAATAGTTGACTGAGTATCTGGACAATGCGTGTACGAATGGTGTGATGTCGATGTTAAATAGAGGTTGTAGTTATAAYCACAGATATAATTAAAATCATCACAAAATCGAATAGTTCTTGTCCAAGTGCTGCGTACGTTGTGCACCAAGGGCAGTGCATTCATGTCAGACCTCAGGAAATTCTATAATGTCTATCATTTACATCAATATCTGTTTCTTAATTAGTTTAGAAACCAGTAATCATTTTAATATATAATTTAAAATACATTCATGGTAATGATTACCATTTAAATTTAATTGTATGTTACAACTGTTATGATAAATTGTTATAACAATCAAGGATATTAAGGGTGGCTCTAATTTTGAGGAACTGATGTCAAACTAAAATGTGAAATTAGTTTTAGACCAATGTAATGTTTTTAGTTAGGTATAGACTTGTATAGTGTGTTCCAAATATTTATATCGCAATTTCTAATCTGCACAAATTTCTGAAATTTAATGAATGCCGAATGACGAATGCCTATTTTGTCTGGTTGTAGTAAGATAATTTATAAGTCACACATCTGGGTATAATCAAATTTTTATAATAAACTATCTCTTTACAAATATCAATTTAGCATTCAAAGGAAGACATGTTGTTGAACTTCTAAAATTTAACTCGGACCAAATGAAAATCTAACGACCTCAACCCCCAAGCTTCTAATACTTGGTCACAAGTCTAAATTTTAATACTTTGTAAAGAAAAATAATGTATGAAAATGTAATTAGTTTGACTTTCAAATGAAATACTGACAATCAATGAAATTAAATTTATACATAATGTATTATATTATTTAATACATGTAATTGAATTTGAGTAGTGATTTTAGTAATTTGTTATGTAACATAGTCTAAATTCTATACTGTACAAATAAGTATTAATGTATTCTATTTTTCATTAAGTAATCAAGTATATTCTAGCAAAATAGTATTAATTTCAAACCATAGCTGTTTGACCCAGTCCACATTTAAAAAAAAATATTCAACTGTGGTCAGACCTAAACATAGGGTTTGGCACTACTGAAGTAAAATGAATCTGTGATTAAATAACATATACAGACTTCTAATAAATACTATTAACTACAGTACATAATAGCATTAGATATTTAATGATAATTCGACACGATTCATGAAAACTATAATATTATATTGAATTAAAAATCATCCATTACTTTAGGCATAAATAAAAAAAATKAAAGTATATAATATTGGTTGTAACATTATTTAATTATTTATTGTATAATCAAAGTAACATAATATATAAAATTATAAACTATTATAGTAATTATTTCAACATGGTTATTAGTTATCACATTTTATTTACTTATGTTTTAGAATAATTTTTTAGTTCTATTTTATCTAATATTCAAACTTTGTTTTTCAAATCAATTGTATCATACAAGTCAGTTCTTCTTTGAGTTTCAGTGGGTATTTGCTGTCTCATGTTTTCCCGATCACCATAATCTATAAGCATTAAATAAAACTTATAATTCAAGATTCAACAGAAAAATAAAATTCTACTTACCAAGATTTACATATAAATCCATGTCTTTTTCAGAAGCTTCTTCTAAAATTTTACCCCATGGATTGACAACCATGGAATGACCCCATGCCACATAATTAGAATCTGTTACTCTGGCAGGTGAAACAACAGCTACAAATGCCTGATTGTCTACTGCTCGACATCTAACTAATAGGCTCCAATGTAAAGGTCCGGTTGTCATATTAAAAGCACTGGGATATATTAACATATCACAACCTAAAAATCAAAATGTTTAGTAATGCTAATAACAATATTTATCAACCATTAAGTAAGAAGTAAACCTTGTTTTCGATATATTGTTGCCATTTCTGAAAATCGTATGTCATAGCAGATCCCTAGACCAATTTTAAATTTTCCCAGTTGAAATGTATTTAGTGAATTACCAGCAGCTAAAGCATCAGATTCTTTGAAGCACATCCCACCAGGAATATTTATATCAAATAAATGCACCTGTATTTATATATATATATATATTTAAATACATATTACATATTGACATGTATAGTGAAATTGTGATGGTTTTAAACTAATATTAGTAAATAATCAAGTTTATACATAATATTTTGGGCCTTGACTTGTTTTAYAACAATAATTAAATAGAAAAATAAATATTCACTTTTATAACAAGTTTTATAATATTATGTACAATATATTAAACAAGGGTATATGAACCAGAAATGTATTTAGAGAATTATTATCTCAGTTCATAATACTATTATAACTGTATTTAATAGTATTTCTTGGTTACAAAATATTAAATTTTTATAGTACTTTTCTATGTTTGGCGATCAGGTTTCCATTCGGATCCCAAACTGTACAAGTGTTATAGACTTTATCATCACATATCTCTGGAATCGAACCACCTACAATATAAATTTCATTTGATTTGGCAGCTTGAGACAAAGCTTTGCATGTGTCACCTCCAGGAATAACTTCTGAGTACTCTCTGAACAAAGCTACAATAGAAATAATCAAGTTAAATCATAATTATGGCATTTGAAGTACTTAAACATTAGTATTTTATTTAAATAATTCCTATGTGTTATCACTGTCTTACTAACACATAATAAGGTTAAAAGTAGCTTAAATTTTGTTTTGATAGTTTCTAAACTAATTGTTTGAATGCAATGSTTTGTGAAAGTTTTATTATTACTATTTAAAACTATCAAGGTGTTCTTTTGTTAAAAACTTATTAATTGAATGATTTACTAAAATTGAATGGACAAATCATGCACCAMTAAATCATGTTTAGGGGACCATTAGCTCACTGTAATTGATTCATTAAATGTTTAGTAATGTTTATGTAACCCACCAACCGACTATATGATATATCTATTTACCAGTGTTATAAGGAGAGTTAAAACATTCTGGTAAAATGGCTAATGTGCAGCCATTCAGTTTTGCTTGCTGTACACGTTTTATTGCATTGGCCACATTTGTCGACTTATCGGCTGTGACAGTCAACTGCAGTATAGCAACTCGAAAACCTAAAACAAACATCATACATCATGTTAAAAACAAGTACACATGCAGGCAAAATAGAATAATTATCAATATAATTTTACAATTGTTACCAGAAGAATTTGATGAAATCATTCTGAATTTGGCGAATAATGTGATTGTCTGTTGCAATAGTTTTCGACCAGCAAACATTTATGACATAGAGTAATATGTATTACTATTGCTCTATGATTTATGAGCAACGCCCACCGTTTACCAGTATGCTGTGGTAATAATTTTATACTTCTATCTGACTTATTTTCGATAAGTCGCTAATAGGTACCTACTTATTTATCTTACATTACAATTCGAATAATAATTATTTTCTGTTATGAAGCATAACTTATGAATTATTGAATTAATGATATCTGATATTGGACTAAAGTCATATTATTAAAATACATAAATAATTATTATTATGCATGCACCCGCGGAGTGACAACAACGCCGGTGATAAGAAAAGAACCTCTACCGATTTGAAATTTAATTACAATTTACAATATTATCACAGACATATTATGTTTATGCTATATTATTATGTCTATGTGTGTTATATACATATTATAATTTATTTATCAATTATTTTTCTACAGCAGCTACTGATCTATGACAGCAGTGAGGTACTGTGGTAAAAAATAGTATGCTACTATGCTCATCGAATGTTTATTGTTTAGATGGCTTGCCCACGAACATGTTCATTGGGGCCCRCTTACGGTTAACTTTTAAATTAATAGTGGGCTAATGGTCCCTTAAACATGATTTGTCCATTAAATTTTATTAAACCATTTATAAATTGATCATGGTACCTGGCAGAAGTATGTTTTATGAAATATTTATGATAAAAAAGGCGGGTAAGTCKTGGATGTCGCTCTGCTGTAAAGTAGACAGTGGGTTACTGTTATGGATGGAATAATTAAATTTGAATCCAATGATATTATATCATTGAATACGAAAAACGATTCTGAGTCAAGACGGTTTATCTGTTTAGAATATATTATAGATTATTAAACATTTTCAAATCTTAGATTAAAAAGAAATTTTTTTATGAATTTCTAGCTTAAAATAATTTGCGAATTTTCGTGATTTTTACGTATGTTGTCAAAATTCAAACTTTGAATGCTTATAAATTGTGATAATGGATTTATTTTATTTTTCAATTGCTATTGTAACAATAACATGTTAGGAGCCTTGTATTACATTTTCAAGCTTTTCTACCCAATAAATTAATTTTTATCGGTATTAATATTATATTGATTTAAATTAGTATATTACACTTTACTTTCTAATAAAATTAACTCCTAAATATATAAATTACGTTAGTAGTATAATAAATAATAATATCACAAAATATACTGCACAAGCATTAGTCAAATAGTCAAATAATATAAAATAAAATGTAAAACAATTTGTTTTTATGAATACAGGAATAATTTGCTAAAAAAATTACTACCTACATTATTTTCTAAACATTTAAAAATTTAATATATATTTAATTATATTTATATAATTATTATATATAAGGTATATTTTTATAATTAAATAATTTGATATTTGAGTTATTTTGATTAGAAAGTAATGTGTAATCTATTAATTTACGTAAAAACGGATAAATTTGGATATTTTGTCCTTTATTGACTTATTTGAGTTATTTATGTGTATGTGAAATTTAGAAGTTATTTTMAATTATTGTCAAAAAAAAAGAAAGTTTTGCTTGGTCAAAAAACTTTTAAAAGAAGTGAAATTTACAATAACTTTTTTTTGAGCGTTTGAAGTTTAAAAAAAATCTGTAGGTAAACGCAGTTTTTTTTATAGATGCCATACAATATTTTCGGAAAAACGTATCTATTCTGTAGTATGATCATAATTTTTGGACGGTCAAATCTTCTGGTAAATGCTTGCCGTTTTGAGTGGACCCTTATGATTCGAACTATTTCTAGATTTTTAGGATTAATACTTATTGTGGTGTATAATTTATTATTATTATTATTATTATTATTATAGAAGCCACAGCAACAAAAATTATTGGCCTTACAATGTGTTTGTTTAGATATTAGATGTGGTATTAAATAAAAGGTTTAGATTTTATACATAAGAAGTCAAGAGGGAACAGTAAGTAATAAGTATATATGGTGAAATTTTAAAACATGCTGGGAGAATAAATTATGTTGTATAATTTAATTAATTTTAAGAAATTGAATATTTTTTCAATGTTGTCTGGGTCACGTCTAGCACTTCATCGAGACAGTCTTATTTGAGGTTGGTTCGGATATCGTTGTATTCTCGACGTGTCGAAGCAAAAGCATAAAATGGGTTTAACTAAATAACTCAGAATAAGGTATTTCGCCAGATGATGAGAGAGCAGAGGCATGGTTCCGGGTTGGTTCTAGTCATGACTTCATGAGATGTTTATGAGTCAACTTAACCTAATAGGCGTATACCTATACGATTTATAATAGAATAGTGTATATCCTGATTAATCATTGTTTTGTACTCAAACCCAGTTGAGGGAGCCAAGCGGGCGCAAATTCTCCAATCCCCCTCCAACTGGGTGCCTAGCCGTAGTATTACCGTAATTCAAATTTAATAAAATATACATTACATTATTATAATGACTTATTCGATATGTCAATGAGTGACAATGACTGTGTAGTGTGTACATTCTCTGTCTAATGTGTACTGCAGTGGTTATCTACTAACCCCTCTTCCGATATTCATTGAGCATTATCTGGTTGTCGCGTTACCTTTTACTCGTAACTCTGCGGCCCGTCATTAGAATAATAATAATTTTTATATATTTTATAAATAGTGTTAGAATATACAGTAAACACACCCTTATTCCATGTCCGCGAAGATAGCCGCCTAACGGCCTAATAACATTGTCATTATGCTAAACGAAAATAATAGCAGGTATGTTTGTAATATGATATATTTATAAACTACCTATAATATACTATAAGTATCTACTTTTTTTTTTATTGTTAAACATCGGCGACAAAGGCCATTAGTTACAGTTATTTATAAATACATTTTTTGTTAGTATCTACTTTGATTCAATTGATTATTCAGTTTTTACATTTTTTTTTTTTTTTACTTAAAACAGTAACTTTCTTGTTATGTATGACTAAAATAATTGCTATGTTCTGATTTCCAAAAATGCTTTTCAGACTAAATAATATAGGCCAATCAGCCAAAGTTGTATTAAGTTGTTTTTTTCACATAAATTGTGTCATATAGGTATGYCAGTTCTTCTTTGATTTTCAGTGGGTATTTGCTGTTTGATGTTTTCCCGAAGTGTAAAATCTATACATTTTATGAATTACAATACGTTTAGTAAAAAACTTATTTTTAAATTTCGAGCAAGGATCTTCAAGATAAAAAAGATCATATTTACCGAGATCTACATAATATTAAATCCATATCATTTTCGTCAGCTTCTTCTATAATTTTACTCCAGTGATCCACGACCATTGAATGTCCCCATGCTACATAATTGGATTTAGTGTCTCTAGCCGGCGAAGCAGCAATTACGAATGTTTGATTTTCCAATACTCGGAATCTAATTATTAAGCTCCAATTTGGAGGTCCAAGCTCCGTATAGAAAGCACCCGGGTATATCAACATTATCAACAAATCACATCCTTAAATCCAAAATTTTTATAACATAAAATAATAATTATATATTTAATAATTTAATATTATGTGTTATTATTTTGTATTCATAATGAACAATGACATAGGTACCTTGTTTTTGGTATAATACTGCCATTTCTGAAAATCTCATGTCGTAACCTCGTAACAATACCCATTCATACCTTTAATTTTCTCATTTGGAACGTATTAAGTGTATTGCCTGGAGATATGACATTAGATTCTTTGAAGCAAGTACTACCAGGGATATTTACATCAAATAAATGAACCTGTTTAATGTTAATATATTATTCTTTCGTAAATCAATTAGATATATCTTAACCTTTTCAGATATTAAGTATTGCAATAAGTATAATATAAATTAAAGTGACATTCAAATAAAAGTTGAAACATAATAAGTTATTATTATTAAGTATTTATTATTTAAAATTTTAATAGTACTTTTCTATGTTTGGCTATCAAGTTTCCATTAGGATCCCAAAYTGTACACACTACACGTGTTGTAGACTTTGTTATCACATAACTCTGGGAATGAACCACCTACAACGTACATTTTGTTCGACTTGACAGCTTGTGATAAAGCTTTACACGTTTCGCCGTTGGGAATAATTTCAGCATATTTTCTAAACAAAGCTAGAAACAAATAATAACAATAATGAAATTATATTGGAAATCTCCTACTCAACTACTTAAATTGAAGTTAATTTATTTTTATGCTAAGCTAAGAACTAATTTGTTCGAACAAAAATTAACAAGATTTTCTTCATTAAATGGTAGCTTATATAAATTTATTAAACAAAAATACTACAATATAACACACTTAACTCGCTTAAAAAAATCTGATAACACTTGCTTTTTCCGGCTCCGATAAATCTGAATAATTCAAAATACAACTACACGATCAACCGCATCATGATATACACATACCCAATAGGTAATTATTGAGGTTGTTCCTTTTCTAAATATTCCTTCATSTACTTGTCTACCAGAAAGATACTTAATATCAAACAAAATTAAACTAACAATTCAAAAATACTCTTTAAAAAATCACTCAGCTTTGATTTGACTACCGTAGAAGTAGCTTGGCRCCTCCTTAAAAAAACCAAAATACTTTTAACTTACATATGTATAATTCTTTTAGACTCAGACTCTTATACTTTCCAAACTTAGGGAAATTCTCCAAATTAATTCTTTTCGCGAAGCCTGACAAATCATTTGACACCCCAATCTCATTTAGATCAATAAATCTATATTGTCCTTCGTATCAAAATGTTAGAAAGACCTATTATATTGAAAATTTTATTACCGAATATTACCACTATAATAACATACTTCCAAATACTCAGTTCGGGTTCCGTAACGCATATAGTACAATTGCACAATACATCAAATAGTATATTGAGTTGTTGATGTTATTTATTTATCTCTTGAAATAATGTGTGTYGCGCTTGTGTTTTGAAAGCGCTTGTACGTTTCACAAGCATTTTATTGAGTTTGGGATGAAGGCTTACAATTTAAACTTAAATAATTTTCCGTCAGATATTTGAGCTTAATAGTTGAATAAAGACTGACTTGGAATAAACACCTTCAAACTAAAAGACTAACCTTAAATAATCGTATCCATACTCTCAGACCTATTTTAATTAAAAATAAATGCTCCACTTTAAGCACCAAGCTATTATAGTCTATAAAGATCTAC